TGGTGGTGTGGTGTGGTGTGGTGTGGTGGTGTGGTGTGGTGTGGTGTGGTGGTGGTCAGTCAGAGAATTTCTATTCCTTTTCAGTACTAGGAAGGACACTTGTGCCATTGACTTCAAAAGGGAAGGTCTAGATACATGAGCACCCCTATTGTGAAACATTAGAAGCCATATATGTTCATTAGCCTTGAAAGTACCTGAAGTGCAAACACCAGGCCTCAATTTCTGAGATGGTTGGTCCAACACTCAGTTTCTACCATTTCTTACAAGTAGGAAATCAAGATCCCAAAGAAGGTACGGTCTCTAAGTTAAAAAAAGAAGAGTCATCATTGGGAGAGGCGAAAGCACCCAACCCAAGTAGTGTGAACAAAATAGCAAAGCCCAAGAAAGCAGAAGCCAATGCAAGTAAGTTGTTTAGTTTCTTGGTACTAAGTTTGGAAGTTTCCAAAGAATTTGTAAATTTGTATTAGGGCTGGGGATACAGCTCAGTGTAGAAAGTGCTACTCACATGTGGAAGGACCTAGATTTAAACCCCGATATGAAAAAAAAATATTTTAAGTCCAAGATTTTCTTTTCTTAACCAGGAAATAGTAGAAAAATATCAGAATCTCTCAGGAGAAAAAGAATTGAAGCTACAGATATTTCTTTACTTGGAGACTCTAATATCTCCTCTTTCTGTGAACTTACCCACATGAGAGGCTCATGACAAGCTCTTGTTTTATGGGGAAGAAAAAGAATGGGTGAGTGAAACCAGTTAATATCCCCTAAAGTCACTCCTTGGATGTGGTAGCTATCCATTTCAGCTCCCTTTCTAATGGTCGAGCAAGCCACTTGGTTCAGAGGAGTAGGCATGCATAACCTCTCCACAGGTGGGATGCTGCATTTCAAATGGCCATGCTATCGGGGGTCCCAGGGCATGATGATCCATAAAGAGCAATGGTACGATCTGTCACCGTTCTGACTGTAATACGGGAAAAGTTGAAAACCAGGGCTCTGAGCCTGCAGTAGCTGATTCCTTCACTTAGCCCCTTTCCCTGCCCATGTGCCCATTGCTTATCTGTAAAGCTCTGTAACTCTCCTGCCAATCTCATTCCTGTTTACCATATTTTAAAAAATAAATCCTTTCTTTGTATCCTCAATTTTCCACTTGCCCTCTACCCACACACTAATTCCCTATGTATCACAATTTCTCCTGATGAATTCAGACATTTTAGATCAGTTTTCCTTCTCCATCTCTGGGACTGATGCCCCTGCTCCTAATCGTTTTTTTGTTTCCTTCCTTTAACTACAAAACTCCCTGTACCTATGTTCTATAAGACATCATCATGTCCATTTGTCCCTGTGATGATTTGAATGAGCTGCCCTCATAGTCTCAGGCATTTGAATGCTTGGTTTCCAGTTTGTGGTGCTGTTTGGGAGGCTTAGAAGGTGTGGCCTGTTTCCTGCTTGCAGTTCAAGATGTGAGCTCTCAGTTTCCTGCTCCATGTCTGTCCTTTGCTGCCATGTCTCCCTGCCATAGCAGACTCTTATCTCTCTGAAACTGACCTATTGCCTTGGTCATGGTGTTTTATCACAGCAATAGGGAAGTAACTAATATGATTGGTATAGTCAACATGCTTACCCTCTAGTCTTAAATTCTTGCCCTGTCTTTAAATGATCAACTTTACTCACCAGCTTTCCTTACTTTGCTGATGGTTCCTTAAAGTCATATCTCCTTATGTTCTGTTCCTCTATTGCATAGCTTTCAAACAGATACCCATTATGTAAATACAAGCTCATCTTCTACATTGACATCTTCTAAATGGACATCTCCAACACCTGTGGCATACCTTCTTATTGGAGCTGCCTGTAGGGAAGTCTTTCTTTAGGAGCCAGATACAGAGTTTCATATTCGTTAGAGGCACCCTTCACCCTCCCTGTGTTTGTCCTCTGATTTTAGACATGTATTCCATGATCCTCTTGTCAAATCCCATTTGTTTTTTCTTAGTTGTCACTGATATCACACAAATCAGGTTTGTCTTATCCCTGAGTGCAGTTCTCAGAAAGATTTAATGTGTCTACCTTTTAAAATTCATCGTATATGTTACTGATAAACATTACATATTTGCTGGGGGCTAGTGAGCTCCATGCTTAAATTTGTGAAGTTACCTTTGATTTCTCTTAAAACTCAGGTTCTGTTGCTATCTCAAATTAAGAAAATTATTTTCCTGGGTGATAGTGGTGCAAACCTTTAATCTCAGTAGAGAAGGTAGAGGCAGGCAGATCTATATGAGAAAGAGGCCAGAGTGGTCTACAGAGTGAGTTCCAGGTCATCCAGGGCTACACAAAGATACCCGATCTTGAAAATCAAAAAAAGGAAGGGAGGGAGGGAGGGAGAGGAAAAGAAAATTATCTCAGTCTTAATGAATTATTCTATGGCACCCAAATCTGCCCAAGTATGATCTTATTACATAATTACATACCAGGACTGTAACTTGCATTCTCTTCATGGTGAATTTTTCTTTGCCTGATTTATGTCTTTTGGGGGAGTGATATCATTGTGGCATCTCCATCCATCACTATAAGAAGTGTGTTATAGGGCTAGGGAGATGGCTCAGTTTGTAAAGTGCTGACCATACAAGAAGAAACACTTGAATTCAGATCCCCAATCCTCATGTAAAAAGCTGTGCCTGGCAGCGCACAACTGTAATCCTAGCACCAAGGAGGTGTACCCAGGAGCCTAAGATTCTCTGGCCAGCATGTCTAGCCAATTGGTGAGCTCTGGGTTCACTGAGAGACCTTGCTGCAAAAAAATAAGATGAAGAAAACAATCCAGGAATAGCTTGATGTCAAACTGGCTTCCACATGCATGGACACACATATCTTTGTACACATACACAAATGAACATGTACACACATAGGCAAAGTTTGTTTTAATGTTACATGTCAAGTGGATAGGTGTCGGTCTTGATCACTTTCTTTGAAGAAGTTTATTTGTCCCTGTATTCCCCATCATCACTGGGTATTAGAAGACTTGGCCTTGGCATGCTACCTGGTGAATCCTGTTTATCTCTTTATCCCAGGGTTCTGAATCTTAGGTTCCTGACTGGCCTAGAACTCACAGAGATCCGCCTCCCTCTGTCTCATGAGTGCTGGGATTAAAGTTGTATGCCACCATACCCCACTAGAAAGCAAATCTCTTAAATGCCCTCCATAAAAGTGAGAATTTCAGCCATTTGGTTTAGATGCCCTTATTTTCTCCATACAAAATTCCTTTATCACTGAGGTGACATTTTTATTTTGTTTTGTTTTGTTTTGTTTGAGACAGGGTTTCTCTGTGGCTTTTGGAGGCTGTCCTGGAACTAGCTCTTGTAGACCAGGCTGGTCTCGAACTCACAGAGATCCGCCTGCCTCTGCCTCCCGAGTGCTGGGATTAAAGGCATGTGCCACCAACGCCCGGCAAAAGAATCTTTTTTTTTATGTAAGTTTTAAATGCATTGCTATTCTTACTTTAAACAGTTGTCTTTTAATTTATGTGTGGGTGTTTTGCTTGCATGTATGTATGTATGTACCACTGAGGTGACTTTTCACTCTTACATATGTTTTTCTCTTTAAATGTTTGAAAACTCTTACTTCTGATGATTTCTCTACTCCATTTCTATGTAGAGAGCTAGTGTGTGGGGTACTCTCAAAGTGCCAGAGTGGGTGGGAGGGTAGTCTTAGAGAAGAGGACCAATGGCTTTAAGAAAATTCCTCTAAACATAGTCGTGCAATATGCAGGAGAAAGAATGTGAGCAAGTACTTAGACTTGTAAGTAAACCTAAAATTGCTAACTGACTGTTAGAATAATGATGGGAATCAAAGATTCCTTTGAAATATGGATGGCTGTGCACTGTAAACCCTGATGGTATAAAGTGTTTTCCAAGCCAATTACTAGGAATTTCATGGCTTTATGAAGGCACTGGGGAACTTAGAGAAACTATGGAGTTGTCGGGATGTCCTTGTTACATTGCTTGTAGGTGGGAACAGTAGAGCATCCTTCCCTGCTTATTGTCTCAGTCATCTATTAGTTCCCCAGTTCCCCTTGGCAGACATATTCTCTATTTTAATTTATTTTAGCTAGCCTTAGTAAATAGAGGGATTTGTTGAAGAGACATGAGTGTGTGTCTTACAATCTAAAGGCAGAGACTTTAGCCAGACTCCACTAGGAATAAAAATTGGCAACTTGGAGGTCACAGGAATTGAAATTATGTACACTGTGCTCTTGAGGACAAACAGTTCTACATTTCTACTTCTTTCTGTGTGTGAAAGCTTCACTCTTTGTATTGAAGAACTCTTTATTACATAGGGTAAGTGTGGCTTTCATAATACTTGAATTATATCATCTTAAATTTAATCACAATGGGGAGACTGATAATGCCTTGCTATGTAGTCCAGATGAATGAAAACTTGTGAATATCCTCCACTTTTAACCTCCTGAGTACTGGGATTAGTAGGCATGTGCCACCATACCTGGCATAAGCATGGTATCTTTTAACTTAATGCATTCCTTGTTCAGTGCTCCTATGTCTATTTCACCTGCTATCCCAGGTTACAAGATCCTATTTCTTTTTTTGTCTTTTGGGACAGAGTTTCTCTGTGTAACAGTCCTAGCTGTTCTGAAACTCTCTCTGTACACCAGGCTGGCCCCGAACTCACAGAGATCCATCTGCCTCTGCCTTCCCCGCCACCTGGCTAAGATTCTATTTTCAAGCAGCCAAATCTTTTCCTAAATACTACTATCAGTTTTCTTTCCCCTGGTTTTACTGCTGCTTTCTCCTCCTCAAGAGGATAGGGACATTCATTTTTGATGCTTATTTCACATTGGCATCTTAGGGTTGAATAAGTATTCAACCCCAAATAGGGCATCTCTTTATGAACGTTATAAAGAACTTCAGTGGGTCTGCAAAAATTTACAAGAATATCTCATTAAATTCTATTTTAGAAGTCCAACAAGATGAGCAGATAGAGGAAAAGAAGAAATCTCAAGACAATCGCATTAAGGGAACTACATTCAAGAAGAAAAGTTCAACCAGCAAGAAAAGCAGTGACTGTGCTTTGTTGGAGAAAAAAACTGTCAGTACAAAACATTTTCCTTCAAAACAAAAGTTTCTGAAATCCGATTCACATGCAAAGAACTTGAAGCAAAATTTAGACTTTAGAGGTGAGATTAAAAACTCTGTACAAAATAAACCTGATACAGCTGGAGAACACACAGAATCATTAAACCATACCATATCTGATTCAAAGAAAGATAAAATTCTAGCTAGAAAGAAATGTGAGAAAATACCCAAGAAAAATTCACATGGTAAAGATGACAAAAACCAAACTGGCAAGAGATATGAGAAAGCACGCCATCAAATCTCATCCCATGCTAAAGAAGACAAAATCCAGACTAGAGAGAAACGGAAATCATCTAGCCGTAGTTCATCTAATATATCTGACAAAACTACAACTTCTGGAAAACCCTATGAATGCAATCAATGTGGGAAGGTCCTCAGTCATAAACAAGGACTCATTGATTATCAAAGAACTCATACCGGGGAGAAACCATATGAATGTAATGAGTGTGGGATAGCTTTTAGCCAAAAGTCCCACCTCGTTGTACATCAGAGAACTCACACTGGAGAAAAACCATATGAGTGTGTTCAGTGTGGCAAAGCTCATGGTCATAAACACGCCCTCACTGACCATCTAAGAATTCACACTGGAGAAAAGCCCTACGAATGTAATGAATGTGGGAAAACCTTTAGACACAGCTCAAACCTTATGCAACATGTAAGATCTCACACAGGTGAGAAGCCTTATGAGTGTAAGGAATGTGGCAAATCCTTTAGATATAATTCATCTCTTACTGAACATGTGAGAACACACACGGGTGAAATACCATATGAATGTAGTGAATGTGGCAAAGCTTTCAAGTATAGTTCATCCCTTACTAAACACTTGCGAGTTCATACTGGTGAGAAACCATTTGAATGTAACGAATGTGGGAAGACTTTCAGCAAAAAGTCACACCTGGCTATACATCAAAGGACTCACACGAAGGAGAAACCTTATAAATGCGATGGGTGTGGAAAAGCCTTTGGACATAGTTCATCTCTTACTTACCATATGAGGACTCACACAGGTGATTGTCCCTTTGAATGCAATCAATGTGGGAAAGCCTTCAAGCAAATTGAAGGCCTTATTCAACACCAGAGAGTTCATACTGGGGAGAAACCCTATGAATGTGCTGAATGTGGGAAAGCCTTTAGTCAAAAGTCACACCTCATTGTCCATCAGAGAACTCACACGGGCGAGAAACCCTTTGAATGTTATGAGTGTGGAAAAGCATTCCCTGCAAAATCACAGCTTGTTATACATCAGAGATCCCACACTGGAGAGAAACCCTATGAATGTAATGAATGTGGTAAAGCCTTCAAACAGAATGCCTCTCTTACCAAACATATGAAAGTTCACTCAGAAGAGAAATCTCACAAGGAAAATTAATGTAGAGAATCTCACAACTGACTGGTTTGGTCTTCTTTAACTTTAGAAGATGTTCTCAACTTGATGAATGTTAGCAAAACTTTTTTAGAAAATCATTCCTTGTATATAAGAGAATTTGAATATGTATATTTAGATAAGAGCAGTGGATGGTAATAAAATTTAAACTTGATCCTAAACCTTTACAAAAATACTGTATTTTACACTTACTATAAATTATCTTCATATTTAGAACAAAATATGAAACTAAAAATTGTGAATAAGAAAGGCTCTGGGAGATAGCTAAATCAGTAAAATTCTTCCTAAGTAACTATAAGGACCTGAATTCCATCCCTCGGATCCATGTAAAAAGCTAGATGTGGTGGCGTGCGCTGCAATCTCAGAGTTGGGAAAGTTGAGACAGGAGAGTTTCTGAGCCTAGTTGAGCAGCCTGATCTGCAAGCCCTATGTCACAGGAAGAGACTCTATTTTCAAACAAGGTTCAGGGCTCATGGGGAACAGTACTCAAGGCTGATGTTTGGTCTGCACTTGTGCACCACACACATGACAACACTCTCTCTCTCACACACACACACACACACACACACACACACACACACAGTGACAATGTTATTACAGCACCAAATGAACAGCTAAACCTGCCAACAATTCATTAAGGGCTTGGGTGTTGTGTACTTAAGCAGCACAGTATTTAATCTGCATTTATACTTATTGCATACTTACTGCCTTGTGTAAAGTGTAGTTGTCCCCTCTGATATCATCTAGCTTTCTTTGTTAATATCCGTGTTAGCACTGAATCAGTAGAAAACTTTCTGGGGTTTTGAGACGGCATCTCACTGTGTAGCCCTGGTTAGCCAGGAACTTGCTGTGTAGACCAGAATGGCCTTGAACTAACGGAGATGTGCCTGTCTCTGCCTCCCAAGTGCTGGGATTAAAGGATTAAATAGAAAACTTTAAGGGGTTTTGTCTAGATGTTGTTAAGAAAAACTGGAAAATGCTGAAACAATGTGCTGGTAGAGAATGATACTCAAGTTATATTGTTAAGTATAGAAAAGTGGATTGTTGGACAGTATATACAGTATTTCTCATTGTGGACAAAGAGTGTGTGTTTCCCTCTGTCTTTTTCTGCCTCTCTGTGTACATATGTATGCATTTATACTGATATATTTGTATATGAATAGACTTGTGTTTTCTTTAATCTAGATGAAACTTTAGTGGTTAGCAGTGAACACAGAAGTACAGGATTAAGGTCTGTCATTTTTATCATGTACATGTGTTTTATTCAAATATATACTGAAATACTTTTACATGTACACATGAACAGCTTAAAAATACAGCTGAGTCTGTTCCACAGTGTTGCTTGATAAAGTAACATGAGGTTTCTATGCTCATTTATGTACAATGAATTTAAGGTACATGGCACTAAACCTTGATGTTGAATTTGCAAAGATTTTCCTATTGAACACAGGTTTTATTAACATACATGATTCACAACTATAACAATACTTTATTCTTCTTGTTTGCTATAAACTGAAAATGCATTCTGCTTGCAGATGAATGAAAGTGGTATTTTGAATCATCATTCCATTTTATTTCACATTCAGACTGCTAATTCACAAATTCCTTAAATCAGGGATTTCAACTTTTTGCAGTAAATGTCTCCAAACCCTGCTCTTGCCCAGTGAGCAGCTATTGTTGTTGGATCACTTACTCTGTTTCTCTCAGAGCCTGCCTTGTAATGCTTGTCAAGCTTGAATTCCAGAAGGTGCTGTGCATCAGTTTGACTTTTTCAAGAGACCTGTCTGCCCTTGCATGATCTACTAGCTGGTGTCTATTGCTGTGATCAAACACCGTGACTAAAAGCAACTTGGGGATAAAGAGGTTTATTTCATCTTACACCTTATAGTCCATCATCCAGGGAAGTCAGAGAAGGAACTGAAGACAGGGCCCACAGGCAATAACTGAAGCAGAGGCCATGTGGTAGTACTGCTTACTGGCTTGCCTCTCATAGCTTGCTCAGCCTGCTTTGTTATACATAGGACCACCAAGCCAGGGATAAAATATTCCACAGTGAACCTGGCACTTTCCCATCCAACATCAATCAAGAACATGCAGCACAGGCTTTCCCATGGGCCATTCGAGTTGGGGCATTTTCTCAACTGATGTTCCCTCACACTCTCATTATCCTAGCACTTAGGAAGCTGAATCAAGAAGATCACAACTTTAACCCAGCCAGAAAAAAATCCAGGCCCGATCTTACTCCTTTCTCCCCAAAGAATATTTGGTTGTATTTTACCTTTTATATTCTGACAGCATATTCACTAAATCCTATCTCTAAAGAGTCATGGCCCAGTCATTAGAACTTGTCTAGTCCTATTCAGTTCTCGGTAAAAATTCTATCTGCACAGTAGTCTGGCATAATAATAGGCCCGAAACAAATAGGTGATTAAATGCTCTCTGCACATATTTCATTCTTGTTATTGCCTCCCGAAATTCCTCATTTCAGAGAACAATAAATATGGACGAAACAAATTGTGTGTGTGTGTGTATGTGTATGTATATACATGTACATGTTTGTGTTGGAAGATTACTTTATGGATATTGTGACCCTATTTTCAAATAACCGATTCACTGTTTCACTGAAACTAGCCCTAACTAGGTGTACATTATCCTTAGAGACAACAATGGGGAAAGGGGGGCATAGTATTCTCCAGGTTACTTCGTGCTGATATAGGATGACGATAGTCTCGTGGGGTCCTGTAGAAAGAAAATGTTAGTATAGTGAAAGTCTCGAGTGGATTGTATCCAGTCCGTATTTGATGGGATTTGCTTGATTGAAGATCTGGGTTGAAGTCCTTATCTTGATTGAAGTCCTTGTGTTGACTGAAGTCAATACCCGAAGCTCTGGCCAGAGTGTCAGTTCAAATGGCTCAAGTTGGATCCAGTGGACTCTTAGAGGTGTGGTCCGTTTTCTTTGCAGAGCATTCAGGGATTGCTGTCAGGCAGTTCTTCATTGGCTGTGTGGAACTAAAACATAACTGTTGGCAGAGAAATTTTTGCTTTTATATATATTCATATGGGGGGGAAGGCAACTATGGGAAATAATTATGAGAGAGTGTATACCTTGATAGAAAGAGCCAAGAAAAGACAATTGACAGTCCCCATTTTTCTCTCTGTATTACATCTATTAGCTTCTTCATATAAATACAGAAACTCTGAATATTATATTAATAACATGCTTGGATTTAGAGAAGGAAAGTCAAATCCAACTCCAAAGCCAGCAATAGTTTAATTGAATGGGGGCTAGGAAATAAAGAGAAATACATATATATGTAAAGGCACCTATGGAGTTTATCATATGACAATTTCCTTTTGTTCGATGGTTATAGCTACCTTCTCTTCTACCCATGTAGTGTCCTTTGACTCCTGGAGATAAGTTTTCCTGTGAAGATAAAAACAAAACACGTCCCTTTCCTTTGTGAGGTTTCTATCCAGTTTATGAGATGTGAGGTTTCTATCCAGTTTATGAGATATGCCTTGGTAGAATACCTGTCATTTCTTTTTTGACTCAAATCTTGATCAATTTTGATGGTATCCAAAGTCATTCTTCTGTGGAAACAAATGCAAAACCTCTTCCCCCAATATAACACATGTCCTGGTTTCCATAGAGAGCTCAATACATCTTTGAAGTATATATACCGGCTGATTCACTACAGCAGTTTTTTTCTGTAGTCCAGTATCTTTTTGCAGCTGTTTGTCCTTTTTCATTTGCATTAAGAAAGTTTAGTGTTAATAATGCATCATGTAGCCTATGTTTGGGGGTTTTTGTATCCCCAGCCTGTTTATAGAGCATTTCTTCCAGTGTTCTATTAGATCTCTCTGTCGTGACCCAGTGTGTCTCAGCCTTAATCCATGAAGTTCGGCCTGAGTGGGGGTGTGTGGGCCTGGAAGCTCCTAGCAACCCAGCAGCAATAAAGACCAAACACAGGCATCTTGTCATCTTTAGAGAGCTCTCAGTTCCATGCTCAGTTCCATTTCTTTATTAGCCATCTTTTCTGTTGTTTCTTAACCGTCCTGTCATGACCACGAGGGAACCATTTCTCTCTTGGTTCCCTCTCTGCTCTGGTCGCTGGCCCCTAACTCCTAACCTTCTGTCCTCACGTGTTACTCACACACCTATCACCTCCACCCAGGTGAGGGCCTATCCAGATGCTTAGGTCCACAGAGATGCAAATAAGAGGCATATTACCCTGAGGCCATGGTAAACAATAGTAGCCTTACTGGCATCAACAATACAATAGTAGGCCAGAGCTTTCCGGTGCTCCATGTTTAGTGAAACCCCAGGCTGGATCTCAAAAAATTCCATAGCGGAAACATCTTGGTCCCCCACATCTCTCTACCACTGCTTGTACTGTGGGATTGTGTGGTATGCCAGCTACATGCTTTATGTTATAATATTTGAAAAACTGTTCCAATTTGCTGGAGACATATGCTGGAGCAGGGTCAGTTTTATTTGTACAGGTATACCCATAATGGCCATCACCTCTAGCAGTTGTGTAATAATCAGCTTTTTCAGAGTTGAGAGCAGTAGCCCATTGAAATCCTGAAAATGTGTCTATATATGATGCACATATTTTAAATTTCCATATTCTGCAAAGTCAAAGACATCCATCTGCCAAACCTCATTTCTCTGAATGTCCTTAGGGTTACAGCCTGCTGGCAATGGAACTTGATTATAAAAGGAACAGGTAGGACAGTTTCTCACTATCTCCTTGGCTTGTTGCCAAGTGATGGGGAAGTCCTTTTCAAACCTTTGCTACTTACATGGTGTTTCTTATGAAATTCTGAGGCTTCTAGCACACTTCTATTAATAAACAATCTCATCATTGCCTTGTGCTAGTGGGCCTGGCAGACCCATATGGGATCTGATATGTGATATAGGATTAATTATGTTCCTGATTGTGCTCTGTAATTGTATAAACAGTGAAGTTAATTCTGTATTATCAGGAACAAATTCTACAGTCTCAATGTGTAAAATGACTTTCCAGGTGGGTGGGGGTGGGACTAGCACAGAGATATCAGCAGACTCTGAGTTGCTTGGTCCTCAGGGGCCTAGTGATCTGCCTGCAGACCCCAGGACTTGAGTTCCCAGAGTGGGCAGGCGGAAGTTGGGCCTAAGGCAGGGGCCAAAGCGGCTCACCTCTCTTCTGAGTGGGGGTGGGAGACTTGACAGAGTCTTAATTTGCCCTTTAGAATCAAATCAGAAATCTTTTCTACGTATGTCTTTAGCTTTTTATTCTGTTTATGTGGCAGAAATATCCATTCCAATATAATATCTTCTCTCTGCATCAGAATCCTGAAGGGTATTTTCTGGATGGTAAGATGACCAGAATACAGTCTAAATTAGGGTCCACACAATCTACATGTGCATCCAGTATTCTGCTTTCCACCCATTGTAATTCTTTTTCTGCTTCAGCAGATAATATTCATGGACTGTCTAAGTCCTTGTTCCCCTTAAGGGCCATTTTTTTTAAAGATTTTATTTATTTATTTATTTATTTATTTATTTATTATGTATACAACACTCTGCTTCCATGTATATCTGCACACCAGAAGAGGGCACCAGATCTCATAATGGATGGTTGTGAGCCACCATGTGGTTGCTGGGAACCAAACTCAGGACCTCTAGAAGAGCAGTTGGCACTCTTAACCTCTGAGCCATCTCTCCAGCCCCTTAAGGGCCATTTTAAAATGCTTTAAGTCTTGTCCTTCCACTCTAATTATTGTTTTCCCCTAGCAGCTTCTGAAGACTATTAAGAGTTTGATAACAATCTCTTCTAATTTGTACTTGTTGAGGCCTGATTTTTTGTAAGTCGTCTATCTTGTAACCTAAATAATTAATAGAATCTCCTCTCTGTATCTTTTCTGGGGCAATCTGTAATCCCCAACAAGGTAGAACCTCTTTTACTGTTTCAAAAATTCATTCTAAGGTTTCTTTAGTAGAATCTGATAATAAAATATCATCCATATAATGATAAGGAATGGATTGTGGAAATTTCTTACGAATTATCTCCAAAGGTTGTTGTACAAAGTGCTGGCACAAGGTAGGACTGTTTAGCATTCCATATGGCAAAACCTTCCACTGAAATCTCTTAACTGGCTGTGAATTAAGAGTTGGTACGGTAAACGCAAATTTTCCCTATCATTTTCTTTTTGTTTTTAAGATTTATTATTATTTTGTGTACAGTGTTCTGCCTGAATGCCAGAAGAGGGCATCAGATCTCATTACAGATGGTTGTGAGCCACCATGTGGTTGCTGGGAATTGAACTCAGGACCTCTGGAAGAGCAGTCAGGGCTCTGAGCCATCTCTCCAGCCATCCATATCATTTTCTTGTAACAGTATAGTGAAGAAACAATCTTTCAGATCAATGACTACGATAGGCCATGTCTTAGGTATCAAGGAAGACAAAGGCATTCCAGGCTGCAGAGAGCCCATAGGCTGAATTACTTTATTGATGGCTCTTGGGTCAGTGAGCATTCTCCATTTATTGACTTCTTTTTAATAACAAATACAGGATAATTCCAAATCCTTCTATATGCCCAGCATCTGGCTGTTCCTGCACTAGCCTTCCTAAAGCCTCTAGCTTCTCAGATGTCATAGGCCATTGTCCTACCTAGACAGCTTCATCTGTAAGCTACTTTAAGGGTAGGGCCTTTGGCTCCTCTGAAGGTTTATCATTTGTACTTGTTTATGTACAGCCTGGATGGTTGGTACCTGTTTTCCGTAGCACCTTACTATATTTTTCTACCATCTAAAGATTGCATATAATTGGCATCTGACACTGGAGGAATATTAATCTGGGTATTCCATTGCTGTAACAGATCCCCAGAGATTTAAACTATGTCTGCTACATATGGTTTTAATCTTCCTCTCTGACCTTCCAGCCCAATGCAGACCACCCAGTTAACACTCTGAAAAACTTTAGATGGAGTTCCAATCCCTAAAAATTGTACATTCACCTCTCTAAGAGGTCATCTCTGAGGCCAGGACTTTGGGGTAATAATATTAATATCATTTTTTTTTACAATAGGCAATGTACTATCTATTCATCCTGTGAGAAATTGTCCTCCACAGCAACTGGGAGTGACCAGACCTTTCTCAATGTGGGGGACTTAGAGAGGCCCCTCAAGGAGTTTCCCAATTGTAACAGGTTTCCTTGTATGTCTCTGGTTGATCTACATTCATTGGTCCAGTGTCTGTCCTTACCACATCATCTGCATAATTCAGAATGTGGAGGCCTTCTATGTGAGGCATTGTTGGAATTCCCTTGCCTACAATTTCTCCTACTATGTCCTATTCTGCCACAGTTGAAACATCTAGGTTCCTGGTGCCTCCTTGCCCTCTAGGGAAGGCTCTTCCTACCCAAGTTCTGGTTCCATTATAGTGACAGCATCTGGCCTCTTGGTGCCTATGTTGACCTCTGTAAGGTGCTTCTCCTTCCCAAGTTTCCTTATTTCTTCATCTACTTGT